GTCTTTCATCCAGTCACCATCCGTGGTTCAGTAACTGGATCATTCTGTGCTTCTGCCACAGTGATGCACCAAAACAAACCTTGTGGTCCTTTGAAACAATCCATCTTACGCTTGTTCTTAGAGTTTGAGCTGGGTGGGAGAGCGACACATGCAATATGACCACACAAACATGTCTGACTTTTCAATACTTTTCTACACCCTTTACATCATGATTTGCTGGCTGGACTGCTTCACTCAATTTACATGTGACAGCAAAGAACAAATATAGAGCACTCAAAAATTCTGAGCGGGATGTGTCCTTAATAAATCAAGAGGAAGAACTTGTTATTGAGGAGTGTTTTGCACAACAAAAAGCAGTGTTTAGTGGTTCACAGTTGCAAAGTGTCGCATTAATATAGAATTCAACTGATGTGCTTCACAACTGTTTCCAATGTAGATCAGAATTTAGAGCCTGAACTGTTTTATAATATTACTTTTACTGTTTTGAGTAATTTAGTTTTTAACTCAAGTGTTTCATAATGTAAAGCTGTTTCTGCACCAATTTCAGACTTCAAATCTAATCACAATCCAAATAAAAATGAAAATAATCAAATGAGATGAAGCACGTTTCATTTGTAAAAGGTAGAATTGAGTATTTGTTTTTTTTTATTCAATTGTTTCATTATGCAAAGCTGTTTTTGCACTAATTTCAGACTTCAAATCCAATCAAGATCCAAATAAAAATGAAATTCATCTTTCATTTATAAATTATATAATTGAAAACTTGTTTGTTTCATAATGTGAAGCTGTTTTTGCACTATTTTCAGACTTCAAATCCAACCAAAATCCAAATAAAAATGAAAATAAAATGAGACGAAGCACCTTTAATTTGTAAATTATATAATTGAGTATTTGGGTTTTTTAAACAATTGTTTCATAATGTGAAGCTGTTTTTGCACTAATTTAAGGTTTCAAATCCAAACAAAAGCCAAATATGAAAGAATAACCAAATGATATGACACACCTTTCATTTGTAAATTACATAATGAAGTATTTGTTTTGAAAAATGAAATGAAAATGCTGCTATGCAAAAATGAAAATAATAAAAAACGAAGCACCTTTCCTGTGTTATTTAATTTAATGCAACTAACTATCCTACAAAATATACTCATTAAATAACCAAGCATTAATGACTTTTTGTAGTTAGTTGATTCAAATTAAATAGTTTATTCATATATATTTAATATATAACATTTTTTGCATTGAATTCGGCAAACATGACTAGCTACTAGTGCACTAGCTAGTGCTAGTGATATAAACATTTATATCACGGTATTTTTCAAAATTATACCGGTTTCACGGTACATGACGGTGTTTTTTTTTTCATGCATGACCGGGTGTTAACCATATTTTCTACTGATTGAGAGAGGAAATACTGCAGTATATTTACTGTGATATAATACTGTAATTACTCATAGCGTTTGGTCATCCCACCCACCCTAATTCAGACTCACAACACCATGTTCTTTTTCACATTGGATTGTTCTGTTCATAAGTGTTATTTCAGTCTGCAGTAATGCAGTATGGTCTATCTGTCAATCAGCTTAGCGCCTTCACTCACAGGAGTCCTCTGAGGACCGGTCCTGTGATTCTGCTTGAAAATCACTTCAAATCACCCAATAGGCTCAGAGAGACACAGCATATGCCTCATCTTTTATTGATGGCATTCATCCCAGACCTCTTATCGGGGAAAGTCACCCTGCAGCCCTTGACACCCAATGACCGAAATATGAGAGTTCATTGAGCCGCAGTGCCAGGATGAGTGAGATTACAATACTAAGACCAAAGAGCGGCCAATGGCGCTTTCTTTATCCAACACCGTCCCAGATACTCCTAGAAAATCCTGCATGTGCCAAATGTTTCGGGTTCAATCAAAGTGAAGCGCTATGGACAGCATTTGTGGCATAATTATTTGTTGCATAATCCCTCAGTTTATAAAACAGTATTTAATGCACTTATGGAAGTGCACAAAAATATACAGAATGCACAGAAATCAAATTCTGATTTCTATTCAAAGTGAATAATTATCAAATCATGACCAATAATCAATTAATGGCCCATATTAAAATTCTATTAATAAATACATTTATAATAAATAATGAATAAATTAATTAAGCTCAACTCAACTTTTATTTATGAAGCACTTTTAAAACCATGAGAATGAGAAAGTCTTTAAGTTCCTTTTGTTCCTTTAAATGTCCAGAGTTGACGAAGATTTTATGATTAGCGGCAAGGAATTCCAAAGTGTAGGAGCCGCAACTGAAAAGGTGCGATCTCCACGACGCCTTAAAAATATTAAAAATTAAACATTGAAAATCAATTGTTTTTGATGCTACAAGTGAATTAATGCATTACAACATTATAGTGTAAAGTATGAAAAAAAAAATCTATATTATTTTTTAGATTTGTTAAAGACTAAATCTTAAATTTAAATTATTAAAGTAACTATGTTTTTAAATTAAAACTGCATTGATCTACTTTAAATGAGCTTTAGATGCTAACTATAGTAATCTAAATATAAAAGTAGGAGAAATTAGCATGCACAATTCAATATTGGGAATCATATGTAAAATATAGACTGATTACGATACATTTTAAAAACAATCTTTAATATTACCAAATAACCAATATTCTGATAACCAATAATCCATTATCTGATGGCCAATAATCAATTAATGGCCCATATTAAAATTCTATTAATAAATACATTTATAAATGTAAATAAATTCTAAATAAAACATTGAAAATTACTTGTTTAGATGCTACAAGTGAATTTATGGATGAATATTATTTTTTTAGATTTACTAAAGATTGCATTTAACAGTCTAATTAAATTAGTAATGTAACTACATTTTAAAATTCAACTATTTTTAAAGATTCACTTTAAGAGAGCATTAGACAGCAATCTAAATATAAAAGTAGGAGAAATTAGCATGCACAATTGGACAATATATTTAAAATATAGACTGATAATGATACATTTTTTAAATAATCTTTCATATTAGCTGATACTCAATATGATTCCGATATATCATGCATCCTGAGAAAATACTGTTTTAAAAGTAGATATAAGACTTTATACGTTAACATGAGACTAGTGTGAGAGAATCAAAATCTGTAGTCTTATCCAATCTTTTAATTTCAACGTCAAAAAAAATGGCAAAAGCGCATAGCTAATGTCAGTCACTTTAATACCAGATACCAGATACCAGATACCAGAAAGAGACAGTGCAAACTTGAAGAATTACACCAATAATGAATCGAACATCAACCTAGAAAACTATCCCACTTCATAAAGATAATTTACAAGTTTACAGCTTGAATAATAAACACATTGTCACTGAATAATTCACATAACTGCTTTTTTTTTTACTGCCTGATTGCTTGCATTGGCACAAAATGTAAACTATTGTATATAAGACATTATAAACAATAACACAAAAAAACACACACACAAACTTCCAGATTTCTGCTTTTACAATGCAAATGTTGCTCCATAGACTTATATTGTCTATACTGCTTCACTGTAACCACAAATTAGGGATGTAACGGTATGAAAATTTCATATCACGGTTATAGTGACCAAAGTTATCACGATTATCAATATTATCACGGTTTTGTTAAAATTAGATGAACATGTTCAAAAAGAACTGATACACACACTGAAAACTGATTTATCGTGAAACCGGTAATCGTTCCATCCCTACCACAAATTTTGCCTTTTTATTTTTTTAAACTAAAAAAATGAGTCAAAATGATTTTCTGGGATCATCGGCACCATGCCACAGATGCTGAACTTGCATTGAGTGCGAAACAGACCTTAGATCTCAAGCAAAGCAATTACACTCAATAATGTGCCTCCATTTCTGAACAGAGAGTCTCTGATCGATAGACTGACCTCAGAGCCGTTCAACCACATGTTGAAGCATTCATCAAGCAATAACTGCACACTGTTTCAGAAAGAACTGAGAATCGACTACAACTACGACCCTGTAAGCACTCGCCCTATGGCCACAGTAATCAATCTCCATTTCGAGGAGCCACCGTCTCGCAGTGAAACTGGGCTTAATGAGACACATCCGGACAAACCGGGACGCTGGAGGCCACACTCTTCATCTTATCTTCCACTACAGCAAATAAAACACCTCTCAAAGCTGGGTTTCTTAAAGTTATAGTTCACCTAAAAATGAAAATTGATTCTGGAAATGTACTCACCCTCAGGACATCCAAGATGTAGATGAGTTTGTTTCTTCATCAGATTTGGAGAAATGTAGCATTGCATCACTTGCTCACCAGTGGATCCTCTGCAGTGAATGGGTGCCGTCAGAAAGAGAGCCCAAACAGCTGATAAAAACATCACAAGAATCCACAAGTAATTCACACCACTCCACTCCATCAGTTAATGTCTTGAGAAGTCAAAAGCTGCGTGTTTTTGTGAAACAAATCCATCATTAAGACGTTTTTAACTTCAAATTGTTGATTCCTGCTATTATGTTATTATGGATAGAAAACTCATATTTTAGCCAAACAATGGATTTGATTCTCTAACATGCAGCTTTGGGCTTCACCAGATGTTAGTTGATGAACTGGAGTGGTGTGGATTACTTGTGGATTATTGTGATGTTTTTATCAACTGTTTGGACTCTCATTCTGACGGCACCCATTCACTGCAGAGGATCCATTGGTGAGCAAGTGATGTAATACTACATTTCTCCAGATCTGTTCCTGTGAAGAAACAAACTCATCTACATCTCGAATGGCCTGAGGGTGATCACATTTTCAGCAAATTTTCACTTTTGGGTGAACTATTCCTTTAATTCATCATGTATTTCGGTACTCTTTTAATGAGGATTGAACGATATACAGCAGCTAAAAAAAATAATATCCTGAAATTTTTCAGCCTTCCGACAGTATTTGATCTTAATATTTACATCTGAAGGTCGATATAGGGTGGTACTCACGGCTGGCAGAGCTTGACCAGGTCATGGTCGGTGGTAGTTGGCAGTAAACCACGAATGTAGAGGTTAGTTTTACTGAGCTGCTCCCAGCCGGCTGTGCTGCTGCTGCAGCTGCTGTGATTGGTGCTGCTGTTGGTTCCAGGACTGGGCGGAGCCATCGGGTGGGAGGCGGGGCCAACCGGGGGCTGGAGGGATAGACACAAAACAAACTGTGGTCAGAGTGGAACAAGGTCAAAAAAAACAGAGAAGCAAAAAGTAAACAGTGGCAAAATAAGCCATAAGTATGTATACTGGACAGAGAGAAAAAAAAAAGACTACTAATCCAGCAAGCAGATCACTCTTCACCAGCAACAAGATCCATCATGAGCAATTTTACATTATAGTAAATTAAAAGTATATAAATTACAATATGTGCGTTTTGCTTAAAATTCAATGAAATTACATGCCTCAATTTATTAGATATTTCCTTAAGATCACAATATAAATCACAATATACAGTGAGTGCTTTGCTTGAAATTCAGTGAAAAAATATGCCTCATTTTAATAAATATTTCCCCAAATATCATGAAAGTCAAATGCAAAATATCAAATTATGCAAAATAGCTGAAATGCGTAATAATTTGATGCTTAAAATTTTAACTTAAAATACTAAGTAATTTTACATTGCAGTAAATTAAATGTATATAATCACATACGTGTTTTGCTTGAAATTCAATGACAAATATGCCTCATTTTATTAAAACGTTACCCAAATTTTGCACAGATCACAATATAGATCACAATATAAGTTTTGCTTTTCAATGAAAAAATATGCCTCATTTTATTGAACTGAATCAAATGTGAAATAAAATGTGTAACACACTCACACACACACACACACACACACGTATATGTATATATAGGTATATATAATGTGTAATAATTTGATGTTGAAATACTTTCTCAGCTATCCTTATTGAGATCCACAGCTATCCCGAAACATCATTTCACACCTGTGAGCCCAAGTGCCTACCCAGGGAAACATTTAGGATTCATTTTGTTAGTGAATCGCTGGGACTTTGGGACACACCTTGTGAAACTGGGATTGTCCCAGGTAAACTGGGACGTCTGGTCACCTTATTATGAGATGAGATTATGAGTTATAAGATGAACAAGAGTGTCAAAACAACCCTCTACATTGCGAGTAAATCACTCGCATATGCGACTAAATCTTACTCTGGGCGACTAAATAATGTCTAACATTAGCCATTGGCTAATAAATTATTAGATTTTACACGCCAGTGTGTGTGTGAGAGGCGTTCAACGCAGATTTTCACTCGATAAACGCGCTGACTGAGCGCTTGAGAGTTTCGCTCTCCGTCAAGCGATCTGTACTATTTGGATGCGCTCAATGGATCATGTCATGTACTCAATGGATGCGCAGTATGTAGCACGCAGCGCACCTGTATTTGACGTACCGTAAACTAGTGTGAAGGCGCACGACTCGCCGTCGCTTTACTGATAGCTGTATATAAAAACAATAGAAGTCTATGTAATGTCCCCATTTAGATAGCTAAGTAAACGTGTGTGTGTGTGTGTGTGTGTCAGTCTGGCAAGTAAACAAAAAAATGTACTAGCCAATGGCGATTATATTGCCAAGGTGTGCGTAGAGGGTTGCAAAAGCCGCCCAAAACTTCTTCACACTGCAGCATCCATGATACACACTAAGAAGGGAGTTAAACAACCTGTAATTGACCTTTGTTTATACATTGTTTTACATTATTACTCCATTACTCAATGTTTCTCCAAACCTGTATGCTGTTATTTAAATGTTATTCAAACTTCTCAATACACCTTTTGTGCATTTTGGCTATTGTGATGATGCTTTCAGTTATTAAGACAAGTGTAATACTCAAAGCTCATCTGAACCCATTTGACCATGTTTAAACCCTTTCTGCACATTTTAATGCAAACTCAGTGTAGAAACGTAAAATATTACTGGTGTAGGCCAATTAAACATTCAATTAGTAGTGAAACTTTAGCATCTGAAATTTTTTTTAAACATTTGGCAAGTTAATATATCTCATGCACAAAAATGTCAAATATAAAACGTCTGTTCTGACCGCCAACAGAATAAGTTTTGTTTTGCATATGGTTATCAATAATTATTAATAATGAATTTTATGAATAAAACCCTTTTGGTTTCAGTTTCTGGCTAAATGAAAATGGTAATTTCGGTTTCGGTAAAAAATTAATTTCAGTGCATCATTTCAAATAAGTGCTGCTTTTACAGATTCTACAACCTTTAAAAAACAACTCCAAGACTAATCTGCAAAAACAAACAACAAACATAAGCTTTATCTGAGAACATGGAAAGCAATTTGATCATTTTTAGACCCCTCACAGCTGTATTTGATTTTGAAACCGAAACAAATCTTGATTCATTTAAAATTTTCAGCAACAGTGCATGCATGCAAATCTTTGGCAAGTTAAGATGGTTCATTCACACATTTTGCAAAGATTGCAAAACATGTCAAATGCAAAATAAGTCTGTTCTAACCCACCAACAGAATACGCTTTGTTTTGCATATATGCTTTTCAATAACCGTAATTATTAATAATTAATTTTATTAATAAAACCCTTTCAGTTTTGCTTTCTGACAGAATGAAAATGGTCATTTTGGTTTCGGTAAAAAATTTATTTCAGTGCATCATTATAAATAAGTGCTGCTTTTACAAATTCTACTACCATGAAGAAAAAAAAGAGTAACTTCAAGTCTACAAGAACAAACACCAAACATCAACTTTATTTGAGAACTTATAGAAAACAGAAGAATAAAAGCAAACGGGAAAGCAAGTTCCCGTCCCTCACAGTTGGGTTTGATTTTGAATCTGAAACGAATTTTGATACATTTCAAATTCTCAACAAAAGTGCAAATCTTTGGCAAGTTGAATTTTGCAAAGCACAAATTTCGTAAAGATTGTAAAATATGAAATATATCAGTTCTGCCCCACCAATATAATGTTTCGCTTTTCAATAATAATGACTAATTATATGACTAAAACCAATTCAGAATTTTTGAGGATCAAACAAGAATCATTTAAGGAGAGATGAATCAATGAATCGATCTTTCCCTCCACCCCTACTGAATCTCCTCAGCTCTAATGCTACACTGCTCATGTTTGTCAGAGCGAGGATGAGTATCTGGCAGCGCTGTGATCCATATCTGCAGTACAGTCTCTTCTTCTTCAGAAAGCAGTTGTCAGCATAAAGTGGGTCCACAGGGGCCGGAAGCTCTGACCTAGGAGCACAGCTGACGGAGAGGACGCTTCGAGAATCTAAAGGAAGCGAATGCGGCACTGAACATTTCTATGTGCTGAACCCTTTTGTTAAAGCTTTGTTCTTGGACGAGCTTGATAAGCAACAGACCTAAAGCCATTCGTTTTATCTCAACGCAGGTGAATCCTGCTTGTTTTATAGAATTGAACTTCTAGGTAGGTCTGCAGCAACTTCAAGAGGATCATCAGGAATTGCTATTCCTGTGGTAAAAACTCATTATAATTTGGGTTGAATTTGCAATATTCAAAACGTCCACCCCGCTACACCGTTTGAGCTAGAGACTTACAATTTCACAAGAAAGTCCCATGCACTTCTCATGGGGAACGGTTTTGCCTCAAGGACCCATGTGTTATGTAATTCACATTTCAGGTAAAACCTTTAAAAACTATTCTCTCATGAAACACTCATCCAATGAATCTGAGATTCTTTACACGTCATCTTTGGATATAGGTTGCAGATTTGTTGAGAAAAATACACTCTTTTGTTTAACACATGATATTATTTCAAATGTCGTGAATATCATAGGAACTTCATGTTTTCTCGTCACCTTTCCATCATCAAGATCCACACAGCAATTCAACGAGGAACTAATAATAACCCTTTCCTGAAGCTATGACCACCAGGAAAAGCCTGAGATCATCCATTTGTGTCTTTGTCTACAGTCCCGACAACCATTTAAACTCAATCATACGTTTCAATAAATTTGATGCAATAACAAAAGGCAATTTTTCACGCAAGTGATATAATAAATACAACAATCCTAGCATGAATTTGGCTGCTGTGAATGTACAGTTCTGATTCAAAATAAAGTCTACAAAAGTCTATAAGTACCAGAGTCAAGTTGCAAAACTTGTCAAGTCATACCTTTGGAAATAGCTTTTATACATATGCAAAATTTGAACAGATTTGGAACTAGAGATTAAAACCTGAGACCGTCAATGCAACTCCACGGATTGTAATATTAAATGTTATTTTAAGAAAATGACTTGAGTGAGTGAGTTTTTTTTTAAATAAATCTAAAAAAAGAACACAAATTGGACACCGTATATTTTTGCATTTGCATTTTATGGTTCTCAGGAACTTCTCACAAATGCAATAAAGGTATTTTTGAATCTATCTGAATAGATTTGTAGAAATTAAAACCTAAGACCATCAACACAACTCCACAGACTGTCATATTAAATGTTAATTTTAAGAAAACAACTTGATGCTCCAATTAAAGTTTTTCCACCACAACCTAAAACAAAGAACACAAACAGGACGTCATATACTTTTGCATTTTTCATTTTTTGCTTCTCACAGATGCAATAAAGATATTTTTAGTCATAATAGTGGTGAAAGTGTTGTGGTTTATCATGCATGTTTTGTATACATGCAAAATCCAGCTATTTCTCTGAGCGAAAGGGAAGAAATGAGAGCCAAGTAAAACAAAAGCCTACTACATTAAGAACTCAAAAATAAAAGAGACCGATAAATCATTGTACAGTGAAAACCGGAACTTTTGATATATTTCTCACGGATGCAATAAAGATCTTTGTGGTCATAATAGTAGTGAAATTGTTGTGGTTTATCATGCATGTTCTGAACACATGCTAAATTCAGCAATTTCTCTGAACAAAAGGGAAGGAATATGAACTAAGTAAAACATAAAATATAAAATACTCAAGCTTTATCAGGTATAAAAGAGTTAAGTCGTTGTACAGTGAAAACTGGAACTTTGGATTGATTTCTCACGGATGCAATAGAGATATTTTTGGTCATAACAGTGGTGAAAGTGTGATTTATCGTGTATGTTCAATCCAGTATTTTCTGAGAGCAAAAGGGAAGGAATATGAACTAACCAAAACAGAAGTCAACACAAAATAC